TCCGCGCCGGATTTCTTGGATCCGCGCTGGGCCCCCCCAGCGGCGCCTCCGGCTCCGCCCCTGGCGCGCTCCGTGCGCCAGGGAGGGGGGTCCAGCGCAGATCCAAGAAATCTGCGCGGAGCGCCAACAAAAGTTTGTGTTAATGGCGGTTTTTCTTCTTCTAGTAAGAGTGACCTTTCGCCAGAGTGACCTTGGGTGCGGGCCCAGTGCGGCCCCCCGTTCGCCGAGTGCGATTCGACAGTGGCGTCTTGTGTGTGCTTGTGTTTGGTCCCCCCGCGGCCCCCAGAACGTCGCGCACCAAAGCTCACTCTTGCCCAGGGTCACTCTTGCGTGTAGCCGAGTCATCTTCGAGCCGGATCGATTTGGGGCCCGTAGCCAAGCGACAAAACGCCCGTGGCCCGTTGCGAAGAAGAGTGCACCTCCCGGCTCTGGGGGATCGTTCTCCCGCCCGGCTCGGGCGGGTGGCAATGGGGGGTGACCTTTCTGGGGGGCGAAGAGAAGAGCCCAATCTAACGGGGCTCCTCCCGGACCGCCCGACGCGCTGATTCTGTGCCTGACGACGGCCCCTAGAGGTCTCGACCCATTCCCCAGGACTGGCCTCTCTCGTCCCGAGTCGCCCTTTGACGGCCCCGAAGCCTGGCGCGGGCCCCCCGAGGCCAAAGAGTGAGACAAACTTGCCGCCGGATTTGCTTCTGACTCGAGGGGGATTTTTAGGGCGGCCCCCTTTGGGCCCCTGCTGGCTCCAAAAGGGTCCCTGAAGGGCCCATCATCGGGGGCGGACAGAAACCCCAACAGTGACACGTCGATTAGTGAATTGTCCGTTTTCGGTTCTCGAGAGGGCGCCGTGGCCGTGTCTTTCCAGGCTTGCGCCCGCCAGGTTTGGGCTTCAGGTCGTTTTCACTAAACCACGTTTTACTAAAGGGAGGTCTGTCCATCCCCGACATCAAGTCACCCCCCCTTACCCTAAGCTTCCTGAGTGGGGTCGGAGTAGCTGGGGTCAGAGGGTCGCGCCGCGTCGCCAATGCATCGGCGATGCCGCTGGATGTGGAGCCCCATTTTCCCCACGCCGACGTGGCCGGTGCATCGGCGACGTCGCCGATGCATCGCCGATGCAACGGCGATGCATTGGCGATGCGGCGCGATTCTCCGACCCATCTACTCGAGCCCCATCTAGGAGGCCTCTGCTTCTGGGCCCTAAAGGGCCCAGAAAGTCACCACCCCCAAAAGGGCCACAAAGGGCCCATACAGGGGCCCATGGAGGGGCCTCAAAGGCATCCAAAAAGCCGCGCACCAAAGGTCACGGCGTCGATTTTTTCCTGACGTAGACCCCCAGAGGTCTTGACCTACTCCCCAGGACCTGCTTCTCGTCCTAAGTCGTTTTTTGACGGCCCCGAAGCCAAAGGAGGACCCCCAGAGGCCGAACTTAGCGAAACACTTGCCGCCGCGATTCTCTCGTGACTCGAGGGGGTCTGGGTCTCTTGAGCGCGCCCCGGGTCACTCTTGCGATCGTGGTCGACGCTGCCACCCACCCGCCCGGCAGGGCCCCGCCGCCGCCGCGGCCCCCGCCGCCCCGGGCGGCGCCGCGGCGCCCCTGGCCGCCGTCGGGTGCGCCGCCCGCCGCCGCCGTCGGGTGCGCCGCCGCGCGGCGGGGCGCGCCCCCGCGCGCCCGCGGCGCCGCGCGGCGCGCCGGGGAGAAGCCGGCCGAGGAGCGCCGGGGCTACAGAGCGGCCCAGACACCCCCTCGAGGCACGAAGAAGTCACGGCGGCCGAGGAGCCTCGGGGCGGTCGAGCGGCCCAGGCACCCCCTCGAGGCACGAGAAAGTTTTTTTTTTTTTGTTTGCCCGGGGCAGGTCTTCCACAACAGACTCCAGGAGCATGCGGGGTGCTCGCGAGGTGCTCCTCGCGCGGGGGGCAAAGTCAGCTGCGAGGCCGATCAAAACAGATGACTCGAGCCATCGAGGAGGGATCGGCGGCGGGCGTGTCGTTGTCTCCGGCCTGTCCAGGGGCCCTCGCCGGGCCTCGGGGCCTCGCCGACGGCAAGGGTGACCTGGGGCTCAAGAGACCCAGACCCGTCGAGTCATGAGAAAACTCACGGCGGCAAGTTGTTCGCTACTTTCGGCCTCTAGGGGTGCTCTTTGGCCGTCGAAAAACGACTCAGGACGAGGAACCGGTCCTGGGGGATGGGTCGAGACCTCTGGGGGTCGACGTCATGAAGAAATCGGCGTCGGTGGGTCCAGAGACGGGGTTCAGTGCAAACGGGGATCAGTCAGAGCGCCGGATCGTGCAGGATCCTTCAGAGCCAGGGGTGCACTGACCCTGGCTTGGGTGCAGGATCCTGCAAGGCCCAAGTGACCCAGGTCTGGGTCGACCCGGGTCAGTAGATCCCCGAGATCGGGCCAGACAACGGAAGTCAGAAGAGGACCAGATGACAGATGACCCTCTCTCCCTTCCCATTCCATGTCTCTCTTTCTCTCTCTCCCTGCCCTCCCTCCTCTCCCTCCGCTCCCTCCAACCCCGTCTCGCAACCCTTCCTCCCCCGCCATTCTCGCCCCCCTTCCTGCCTCCCTCCCTGCCTCCCTTTCGCTTCATCCCCCCCCCTCCACAGCAGTGCAGAACCATTGCTATTCTGCTCTCCCCCCCGGAGATGCGGTGAGAGTCGCGCGCCGACCTTCGCGGATTGGTTTGTTGCAGCGTGGTGACAGGAGGTTTGTATGTATTTTCGGGTTCCGGGGGCCCTGACCGGGCCTCGGGACCGTGAAACAACTATTCTCGACTACACGTCGTACTCGGGGGCGGCAAAGAGGGGGGTGCTGACTAGGGGGGGGATATCATGGCGGGGGCCATGATATTTCCCCAGATTTCATGGCGCCTCTTCTTATTTCATTACGTCCCTGGTCCCCCCGCTGGGCCGCGCACATGCCGCTGGCCATGATTTGCATCCCCCCTCTTGGACACCCCCCTCTTTGGCCGCTCCCAACATATGAGTGACCCTTCGTCGGAGTGACCTTTGGTGCGGCCTCATCGGGGTCAAATTGTTCGCTCAGCTCGATGCGATAGCGGCTGATGGCGTCCTTGGGTTTTGCCATCTTGCGCCCCCTTCGTCCGCGCACCAAAGGTCACTCGTGCTTAGGGTCACTCTTACGTGTAGCCGATATTCAGCATGAAGAGCTGGTCCCCGGGAAGGGGCCAAGAACTCTCTCTGCGGGTCCACGTTATTAAACAGATATCATGTCGTCGGGGATCTTGGGAGAGACAGCAGCAGTTACTGGACTTCGGGGGGCATCCTCGTCGCCACGGCGGGAAGGCAGCTTCGAGCACTGGAGCGTTGGGGACCCCGGGAGGGGTCGGGGTCTGGGGGGTGACTGTGAGCTGCCGCTGTCTCGGTTCGCCCAGCGCCGAGAAAGCGTGGGATTGGGACAAGGCTCGAGGTTCGAGGTTTTCCGACAGTTTCGTATGTGTTCGGCGGCTTTCCAGCCTCGGGGTGCTTCCCAGCAGCCGCGCCTCGCCGAGAGCGTTCCGCGGAGGCCTGAATCGTCCCGAACCGCGGCTGGAGACCCGAGCTTTGACCCGAAAGCCACGCGGCGAGGAGGATCTTGGGTCGGGCGAAAAGCGAGGACTGGGACAAGCGCTAAGTCGCGCGCGTCCCTCTAAAGGAGGCATGTTCAGCACAATAGGCCAAGAACAGTCTGGGGACGATGCTTTGACTATTCTAACACATGTCCTGAACATTCGGTTTGGCATTAAGGAACGATCCTCCAAGATCCGCCCGCAAGAGGATATGCCCTACCTACAGTGCCGTTTTTAACACATGCTCCGCGTGCGGATCATGCATCAAACTTGCAGGGGCTTAGTATAAAAACAACGATGAGTTCGCGCATGCAGTCATTCATAAATTAATCATGTATCAAGAATCCGATATTGTAAAAGTCTGCGCCCGTTTCCGCTCGCCGCGGTCGGCAGTCAGTGGCCCCGAGGTTGATGGCGCTGCCGCCGCGCACGCCTAGCGTTGCGCGCGGCAGGTGGGTGCTGCCAACTGCAGGGTTGCCCTCTCTACCGCCGCCCGAGCGTGGTACTGCTCGTCCAAAGCGCCGACCGACTTACACACAGAACTCAAGAGGCCCTGAGAGCCCCGATTGACCCCCCCCAAACTGTGAAACATCCTATGTAAACATCCTATGTATTAAGAACTGCCCCCCTATACTGTGAAGAATCCGTTTAATTTTTTTTTTTTTTTTTACAACTCCCCCCCATACTGGATTAAAAACTGCCCCCCATACTTATCCTTTGTAAACATCCTATGTAACCCCCCCCCCCCCAAAAAAAAAAAGAAGAAGAAGCATAATCCGATATTGTAAAGCATCCTAGGTATTACAAACTGCCCTGCATGCCCGACCTGAGAAACACGCGCCGGCGGGGGGAGACGCGGCCTGCTGCCGGCAAGCGGGGCTCCGGCCCCGCCGCCGGGCGCCGCCCTCGGTGCACGGAGCGCCTCTGTGGCGCCAGGAGAGCCGGCCACGTTGTTGAGTCGGGCGCGCCCCTTCTGCAGGAGGAGGATTCCAACATACGGGGGCGGAAAAGAGGGGGGTGATGACTAGGGGGGGGTGGATATCATGGCGTGGGCCATGATGTCTCCCCAGGTTGCGTGGCGCCTCTTCTTGTTCCATTACGTCCCTGGCCCCCCCGCTGGGCCGCGCACATGCCGCCGGTCATGATTTGCACGCCCCCCTCTTGGACACCCCCCTCTTGGCCGCTCCCGATCTGCAGGAGGAGGATTCGAACATACAGGGCAGTTTTTGATACACAGGAGGTTTAGACATATAGGATGCTTAGTACATCATGAACGTACGAATCCCCATGTATGCATTGCGCAAGTCTTGACTGTGTTTTGTTTTTCGTCCACAGTCCGCCTCTAGGGGGGGGACATGCCCGACCGAAAGCTGCTTGGAGCCGATCCTCAGACTTCCCCTGTTTGACCCCTTGGAGTTCGCCCGACTCGAGAGGAGAAGAAGGAAGAGGAGCCCAACATGATGGACAAGATCAAGCGCTTCGGCCCCGCCGGGATCGCCTCCTACGCGATCACCGAGGGCGGATTCTGGCTGATCTCCATCCCCGGCGTCTGCCTCTTCTACGCCTACGCCACGGGGGAGTGGCCCGACCTCACGAGCCAGGAGGACCAGGCCAAGGTTTGAGTCGGGCCCGTCCCCCTGCAGGAGGAAGACTCAAAAGCAGCACAAAAAATAACCAGGGGACGAGTTGCTTTCACTATTTTTAGCATTTGCGGGGCATGTTTGGGGCATTTTAAAATGGTTCGCCCGAAATCTCCCTGTGGGGGGACAGGCCCGACGGAAGCCAAGGTGGCCGGGGCCTCCTTCGCGTTCCTCAACGTGGCCCGCCTCGTCGTGCCAGTGCGCGTGGGAGTGGCGCTGGCCCTGGCGCCGTGGGTCGACGAGAACGTCATCAAGCCCTTCTTCCCCGACCAGTGGAAGGCATGGCAGGAGGAGTGCAGCAAGAAGGACGAGTGCCCAGTCAGCGAGGAAGATCTGAGCGCTCGGTCGAAGGCCTGAGTGTTTTTCTCGCAGGGCCGTGCTTGCGTGCGCTGCCGAACGGATGATAAGCATCATTGCATTTGTTCTTGGCAGTGCCCTTTCATGTCGCACAAGTTGAGCTGCGCTCTTGGCCCTTCGGTGAGACTTGACTTCTCGACGGCACACAGAGGCGATGCAGCCAGGTTTCCGTGTTGGGCACAGAAGCGCCGTCTGGCGCCTCGCTGTATTTTCAATGTGCGGGTTGCATGTAGCAACATATACCTGGGCACTGCAAGTTTCGTGGCCCATTCTGCTAGGCGCTCGCCAGAAGTACGCAGGGCGTCTTGAGTCGCGCAGTGCATACAGATATACCGAGGCCCATTCTCCGCTTCCTTGACCCACGGGAAAAACGCATTCAAAGGGGGGATGGGACAATTCCAGACGACGGCTGACGTTATAATCTAAGCTGGCGTCTTGAAATCTGGTCCGGGGCCGACCCAGCGGTCCCTGATCCCGAACGTGCATCGCGCCACGTGAGCACACATGTCAAGAGGTGTCTCTAGCCTGATGCTCCACAGTGAACTACTACGCAAAATGATATGGTGTCCGTATGCGGTTAGCCAGAAGTGGTACGAGTTGGTAATTGTCTACGAAAACGTCGGACATGAGGGGAGCGTCGGGGGAAAGCGCGAGGGGGAGAGAGGAGGGGAGAGAGGAGGGGGGCAAGTTAGGTGCGCTTGCGCCACGTCCAACGTACCGCCCCTCCCGTCCATTCCTTCCCATTGCTAGGAATTTGTTCATTATCCGCCGACGGGTGTCAGAGTGGACCTGGAACCCCCAAACAGATCCCATCGCAATCGTGTTATGCGCAATCTGGAAGGGGAGCTGTGTACATTGGAGAAGAGGGACGGATGAGCAGTAGGATGAGCAAGAGGAGGAGCAAGAGGAAGAGGAGGATGAGAAATGAGGAGGACGATGAGGAACAGCAGCATCAGGAGCAGCAGGAGCAGGATGACCAAGGGAAGGCGGGGGGGAGGCCAAAGGAAAAGGGGCGTCAACGACGATGAGGCATTATGATCCAGAAATGTGGCCCGCGCTCGGGCGAGAGCGCCATTCTGAAAGATGGTAACAACGCGCCGACTCTGAAATGAGGCCACCGCTGCAGCGGGAACACCATTTTGCGACACCAGGACCTTCCGACGGAAAAACAGACACGAGACAACGACGGTTGAAATCTTGTGTGTGGAAGCAATGCACGGAGAAGGCGGGAAACGACGCAGTCGGCGAATATAGGAGAGCATGTGTAGATCAAACCAGAGGTGCGCGCGGCACATCTGACATCCCACCCGCCCCATGCATTTCTACATATTGAATATTGGCGGCGAGCGGGAGGGGGGGGGGGGAAGTGACAAGGGGCGGGTTTTCTCAGAAGGCTCGGCAGTCCCCCGGCCTTCCGAGACGTCTTCTGAGCCGTCCCCGAAACTACACAACAACTTTTCCAACGGCGCGAGGGCGTCTGAGCAGCCCTGCCGCCTTCTGAGAGAGGGCCTCCTCCTCCTCACTTCCCCCCCCCCCCCCGCTTGCCGCCGAGAGTAGTTGCAGAGGGGGGGGCGATAGGGGAGGAGGGCCGATGATCCTCAGGACGTGTGTTAGCCCAATGTGTGTTTGTTGGGCCGGGCGAAAGAGGGGGATTGGGAAAGGGGGGGTTACGATATTTGCTGCATGCAGCTGGTTTCGGCCTCACCGAGGGGCCCATTCCTCGATACATAGCCGCCTCTGGCGCCGGGAGGCGCCAGGAAAATCAGCTACGTGAGCTGATTCTCAAACCCCCCCTTTGCTATCCCCCCCTTTCGCCCGACCCGAGTTTGCCCCGTTCAGCGTCACTGGTAGCACCCAGCCTGTGCTGGCCCTCATCAATCACGTTGCCTACGGCGTACCGGATGGCATCGGTGGAGAAGCGCACGCGCTGGAGCTGACACACGCTCCGAGGATCCTCGAGAGGGGCCGGCGGGGGATAGTTAGTGCCCAGAGCTCCGACGTGGACCTCCGGAGTTCGGGGAATCTTTCCCCGGGACCGGCTCCTCGTCCCGGCCTCCTCGAGCCCGGCGGGGGCCCCTGGGGGCCCAGCGCCATCAGAGTTCGCCCAGTCGAGTTGTTTTGTTCACGACGGGGAGAGCTGTAAGTCGGGCGTGTTCCTCTACGGGAGGAACATGCAAAACGAGTACAACACATTGTCAGGGGGACGATTTGTTTAGGTATTGTTTGAGTTCTTGTTATGTTTCGTCCAAGATCCGTCTGTAGGGGGACATGCCCGACCTAAGGGGAGCTCTGGGTTCCAGGCTGCAAGATTCGGCGGCGAGCGAGGGGGGGAAGTGAGCAGGAGAAGGCCCTCTCAGAAGGCGGCTGGACTCCTCAGAAGCCCTCTGGCCTTCTGAGAAGTTGTCTCTTTGTTCTCGGGGAAGGCGTATCAACCTGGCATCGCTAGGACGTGTGCATTTTTTTCTCGGCGAGGACCCTTGAGGAACATCCGGGACCATCGAGCGAAAAAAACACGCACGCAGCCGAAACATGCACGGGACATGGGCGTCCGAGCGAGGGCAAGTCAAACTTCTCAGGAGGCCGGGGAACTTCCGAGCCTTCTCAGAAGGCCCACCCCCTGTCACTTCCCGCCCTCGCTCGCCGTCTCAAGAAAAAAACAGGCCTAGGATCAATCATGGGGCTCCTTCGGGCCTCTGCGCGAGTCGTCCAGCCGTGGCGGCGAGGAGGTCCGGCGTATATCAGGAAGCGAGGCAGAAGCTTATCGAGGCTCGATCCTGGAGGGCTTGGGGGGTCATATCGCTCCCCCTCGGGCCCGAGTTCGAATCCAGAGAGGGGTGGCCTGAGCTCGAGTCGGGCACGTCCCTCTGCAGGAGGGATCTTCAAAGTTAGTCGAGAAATAGTATGGGAACGAGTTTTTCATATTTTTAACTATTGTTGAATATTTGTTTGCTATTTTTGATTTTTCGCCCACAATCCGCCTGTAGGGGGACATGCCCGACCTAAGCCTAGGCCTCCCAGATGGCGTCCGAGTAGATGGGGCCGGAGGACCGTGCCGCGATGCAGCTCGATGTGGATCCCGACTTTCTCCACGTCGGCGGCAGTGATGCATCGCCGAAGTCGCCGATGCTTTTGCGACGCAGTGGCGGTCTGGCGTGATCCTCGGACCCATCTGCTCGGATCCCATGTGTAAGGCCTCTAGATGGAGGGCCCCGTCGACGAGCCATCACTTGGCAGACGCGCGCGCCGCGGCGTCCCGGAAAATGGCCGGAGTCTCCTTGGAGGCATGGAGTGTCCCGCGCCGCCGCGGGCGGCGTCGCGGCGTCGCCTCCAGGACGCCCAGGCGGAGACGAAGTACAGCGGAGACCCATGTTAAGAAGCACCCTGCTTGCCTCCAGGGTGCCCTGGGTTTCTTGGGTTGCGATGGCTTTTCTACGAAAAGCCTGACATTCCCACACCAAAAACCAATGGGCGTCCTTGGGTCTCAGGGCTGGGTTTCTTCTGGGAGGTTTCCTGTGGACTGGCCTCCACTGCACCCGGAGGTGTGGTGCGTCGCATTGTCTGGGGGAGCGCGATCTCCACCGTCGCCGGCACGAGAAGCTCGCACAGGGGGGTCAGAAACCATGGGCTCCCCCCAACCCCCCTCCCCCCAACCCTTCGCGCACCCTCCCCCCTCCTCCCTGTGACTAGGTGGTCCGGACCCCCCCCGCCGCCCTTCGGGAAGATTCGTGGGGGCGGTCCTGAACGCCCCTCCCACCCCACTGGAAAATCAGTGGGGGGGGTCCAGACCCCTCCTTAGGAAATTAGTGGAGGGGTCCCCCACCCCAACTGGCAACGACGACGACGACTACGACGACGCCGCCGACGACAGCGGCAACGTCAGCAGCGGCGGCGGCACACTTGCCGCTGGCGACCACGTCAGGTGCCGGCCCTGATAAAATGCAATCCGTACCCCAACATGTTCTACTCTACTCCACTTTGCTCCTACTCTATTCTGCTCTCCTCCTCAGCTCTGCTCTACTTTATTTCTGCTCGAATCTACCCAATGTATCCTTCTCCACTCGACTTGATTATTCTATGATCCGCACCTCCCTGTCCTGTTATACTCTGCCCTACCGTATCCCAACTATATTCGACTCCTACTCCATCCTCTACTCTATTAACATTTTTACAATTTTCTGGGCCTGCTCTACTCTGCTCGTCATCGTCGTCGTCGTTTTCGTCGTCTTCGTCGTCGTAGTCATCGTCGTCGTCGTCGCCGTTATCGTCGTCTTCGTCGTCGTCCTCGTGGTCGTCGTGCGTCGTCGTCGGCGTTGCCCCGTGGGGTGGGACACTAGTTGTCCTGGAGGGGGGCCATTAATTTTTACGGGATAGGGGGGGGGTTCTGGACCGCCCACCAATTTTCCCAGGGCGGGTGTCTGGACCACCGACCACCCACCTCCTTGGTTTTCGGGGGGGCGGGGGTTTGGACCCTCCTCTCTGCCAGCAGCGGCAGAGAGCTCCCTTTCCAACCTCTTCACGCCAGGTCTTGGGGCCATCACGGGTCGATCTGGCGGGCTCTTGTCGTCAGAATGTTTTCATGCTTCAACTTTTTGACAGCCTCGGATCTCAGGGTACCAGACCTCTCAATTTTTTATTTTTGTTCAGTCCTGGCGTTCTTCCATGATGCCAGCCTCTCGGTTGATGGGCAAACTCTTGCACCTTTGATGCTGATTTTTGAACACCACCCGCGCCCCCAGTTTGATATTGGCGGGCAACGCCGCGATGTGCCGATCTTTTCACTGGCCGAAAGTCTGCGCCCCACTGGCGACGCCAACCAACATTGAATCGGGGGCAGGGGGGCGCGTTGAAGTTTGCGCCGGCACCCAGGTCGCGCGGGTGTTGCTGGATTTTGTCCATCAACCGCAGGGTCCCATGATCGGCACCAGGGCAACCAAACATATATTCAGAACTTCAAAACCACCCCCCAAGGAAGTTGTCGGTACCCTTGGGGGCCGCGGATT